GGAGATACAGAAAATTGTTCTGACAAGTACAGCCCACACCTTACGAAGGGCTTTATCTATGTAATCATTATTTTTATTTTTTTTTTTTTTGTCAGTGGAAAGTGTCATCACGCCATTTCTAACCTTAGGTCCCTGGGCGGGAACCGGAAAGAAATGTGTAAACGCCAGAAATCAAAGAAAATAAAAATAAAAATAATAATAATAACAATAATAATAATAATAATAATAATAATAAATGTTTTGCAGGTAAAACGTAATGTATGAGGGACGGCAGCAATGTGTTTGAAGATTTAAGGGATTGTTTCTCGTTTTGTTTTCCTTTTCTGTATACCTACTTTTGTATCCTCTGCATATATATATATATATATATATATATATATATATATATATATATATATATATATACATAAATTATATATATATACATTTATATATATATATATATATGCACACATAAATTATATATATATATATATATATATATGCTAGCAGCATGGCCCGGCGTTGCCCGTGCTTGATTAAAAAATCGTACGACTCATACAGCAATCGCTATCACTTGACTTAAAATATTTTTGCCCTTCCTTGCCTTTAAAGGAGTGCCCTTTTGCCGTGCTGATGTTGTTACATGCCTTACTTCTTGCCTATCTCACACTGCGAATTTTTTCTAAGCTCTATACTAAACATTAAATCTGTTACGAAAAAAAAAGAACTAAACAAAATAAACACAAAACGATCAGCTTTAAAAAAAAAGGACTCGTAACTGGAAAACCGAATGAAAAAGAATGTTAACAACAAATACTTTTTCACACCCAACCCAGTTCTGCGGAATCAGAATCAACGTTGAGTTTAAGCAAGCGAATGAGCCAATTGGAGTAAAGTGCCATGCAGATTTAAATTTTTCCCACTTGGGACGAATGCAGCTATCGATTTTTTTTTGCATGCTAACATGCTAGTTAACATTCGTGTCAGTCAGCTGTTGGCTCTCACGCTGGCCAATAGAATCTTCCTGACTATTCGTGGCAGCCAGCTATAGGCTCTCACTCTGGCCAGTAGAAAATGGCCGCAAACTATATGTAAATCTGTTTTAACTTGCTGAGTGAAAAAAACCTGGACAGCACAATTTTCATACAAATTGGCATCCGCCGAAGAACCAGAAAGTTCCGAACAGGGCGAAAGAAATTCTGGCACAAAGAAAAAAGAAACCAACAAGTAGTACGTTAAAAGGAAGAGTGCTCAATAGAGTAAGTAGAGCAAAGGTAAAATAAATAAATCCTAATTAACCAGGTACTACCTATCTACGTTTCACCCTGATGATCCCATGTGGTGAAACCTAGGTAGGTAGTACCTGGCTCATTAGGATTTATTATTATTATTATATATATATATATATATATATATATATATATATATATATTCAAGCAGGTTTGGTTAAATAATTTAGACGTATTATGTCTATTGATTTTAGTCTTAACCCTTTCAAGTCCGCGAATTAATTTCATAGTGTAGAAATTAATATTTTAACCCACTGAAGATGGTCTCATATGAGATTAAAAGTTCTTGGAAAAATAAAAATTATTTAAAAGAAAATTTGGGAATTTTTCTTGATCAGTATTCTACAGCCACCAAGAAATTAATTCGTGTACTTAAAATCGATTAAAACTAAAATAATTAGACTTAATCCGTCTAAACATGCTTGAATGAAAATATAGTGTCTTTATATATATATATATATATATATATATATATATATATATATATATATGTATGTATATTATATGCGGATGTTTAAGCATGCTATAAGACTATTTCTATATTTGGATTAAATAATTAATGTAGCTCCACTAGAATTTTTTAAAGTGTTTGTCTTTGAAGTGAATTTATATCAGTTTTGCAACAATTCTTCTCTAATTGTTGCAAATCGGAATGTCTTTTCAATATGACTAAAGCTGGAATCTAATATTTTTTTTACTTTGTCAGGTGTTGCTTTACTGTGATCTGCACGGCCACAGCCGAAAGCATAATGTCTTTATGTATGGGAATAATACCTGCGATGAATTTAATCCAGGTATTGCTAGTACGAAATCATTCCTTGATGACAGGTTATTCCCCTGGATTATTGCTTTACATGTAAGTATCCATAGGATTCATTTCGTTTCAAATATTTCTACTTCAAATGTTTTAAGTACGTACGAAAGTGGTAGAGGAATTCTTAAAAAAAAAACAAACAAGATTATCATACGTCCACGAGGATATTGGAATCTGATTGGAGCTTCAGCATCCTCCCCACTTTTTGGTGAAAATGAGAACCAAAGAAAAAAACTAAATTTGTCCTCATGGCCTTAATCTATGACAATTGGTACTGAGCTGACGTGTACCATTTGTCTAAAACCGTTACTGCTGTTAATTTTCAGAATAAAGTAGATAATTTCATTTTTACTTTGTTTTCTAAAATATTACCTACCAAAAGTTTTACACAAGTTATATATGCAAAAATATCTATAGACAAATTCTCTCGCCAGAATCTATCTTACATATTTATACGTATACTATTCGTCCTTGCTTAGAATATTGCTGCCACATCTGGTCTGGTGCTCCTCCTATATATTTAGTGATTCTTGATAAAATCCAAAGAAGAATCTGCAATGCTATTGGTCCTGATCTGGCATCTCAGTTTCAATTCCTTTCCTATCACTGATAATGTAGGTTCCCTGTGCCTATTCTATAAATAAATTTATTGTAAGTTTTTCAGATGAACTTTCTGATATATTACCTAAACTTTATGAATTGAAGTACAGTACTAGATTGGCATCTAGGTCTTATCATTTTACAGTTGAAACAGCTAGATGTAACCACAAATTTTATGTTAACAGTTTCTTCTATGGCACTTCTCCTTTGTGGGACTCTTTTGACTTCATACTTCCCAGTCAACTTTGACCTTCAAAAATTTTAATGCAATGTCAATCCTTATCTTCTGTCTACTTAATACTTGTTCTTTTATTGAAAATAAAACTGGAATATGAGTTAATCATCTCCTGGTCAAACCACTGAGCCAATCCTTTTAGAGTGCTTTTTTATAGTATTTATTTTATTTAAATTTTAATAGATTTTTACCAGTGTGTATAAAGCAAAGATTTGAATAAGCCAAAACATGGAGGTGTGGATAAAATTTAGCTCCGCACCTCTTATACTTTTTGCTCGAACTGATAGCTAAAGAGAAAATTAAATTCGTCCCCATGGCCTTAATCTATGACAATAGGTATTGAGCTGAGGTATATCGTTTGTCTAAAAACATTACTGCCTTTAATTGTCAAAATAAACTTGATAATTTTATTTTACTTTTATTCTTTCGGGATATTATTAGCTTCCGAATTTTTTATATCTTATCGGGAAAAAAATTATGGTTTTTATTCCAGAAAATAAGTATAAACAAGAATTTAAAATCAAAACAAGTTTAAGGAAGCATCATATATTTAAAACAATATTCATTTCATGGAAGGATTTAAATATCAAGCATTTTATCACTTTAAACGTTATTTTTTTTAGTGCATATCCATATTTCAGTGGGCGACTAGTTTATTTATTAAATATTATATTTATTTATACTCGTCTACCGGCCTGAATATTCGAGAAATCTTATTAAAAAAATAGATGCGTCTTCCGGCAAGATTTGAACATAGGTCCTTCTGAACATCTACTCAAATACGGGTATCCACTAAAAATAACGTTTAAAGTGATTATGTCGGATTAGTAATATGTCGGATTAGTAAACAAAAAAAAAATCCATTACTTCTTTAGAAGTTCACTATTTACATTATTCGGACTATTGTCTTCATCTTTGTTGCCATATTTATCACAACGTTTCGGCCGTTTTACGCTCCGGCCTTCTTCAGGAAGTTGGAATGTCGAACTGAACCCTTTATTTCGCTCACTGGGGTAGACTGTTCTAATTCCACGTGCCATGTCTAATGGGTGTCAGTTACCAGTTATCTCCTGTTAATTCACTTCTCCAAGTTCTCCACCGCCTTAACCGGGTATTGAACTCACAACTCTTTGGGTCTTGTCACTGGATCTAACCAACGCCATGTGTCCTTAAGGAGATAACGGATAACGGAATATTCTGCTGACTGACGAAAACAAATGAATATACTGTTTAATAAAAAAAACGGAGCGTCTATTCAAATATGAGTATCCACTAAAAAATAAAGTTTAAAGTGATGAAATCTATCGAATTCATAAAAAAAAATCTATTACATTTTTAGGAATCTTTAAAATTAGCATCTTATTTATCACCCCCCCAAACATCTGATGTAACCCCCATTTTAACATTCAATTTAACTCCCCACTATCCTGCTTGTCATATCTTTGACTTCTGTGCGAAGACATCAAAAAAGGAGTATTCTGAACTCAAAACCATGGAGATGGTATCGAGAAGCCTCTATTTGATCCAAGAACTTGTATCAGTACACAGATAAAGAAACGGAAACAGTGGAGAGCCATGATCGCCTACGTCCTGAATGAACGTAGTCATTTTTTAAAAAAAACGTATATTTCAAATACGTTGTAAGCTTACACTAATACCGGGGAAATACAGTAACGGTGCGGTGTGAGGATCAAACTCCATACAATTGTAATCATTGTGCGAAAACGAGTGGCTCAACGGCAAGCGGTACACTATTAATAAAAAAAACAGGGAAGCTTGTTCGGATGGTTGATTTATGAGTCAGGCAATCGACTTAAATGAGAGTTAGATAATCACTGAATGCCCTACAGAAATATAGGCCTTGTCTCAGAAGAAGCAAAGTATTGTATACCGCATGCTGTTTTGATTAACACGCAATTAAACATGATTATTCTAATTAAATTTTCCTGTTTTTTTTTTATCTTCACGCTTTATTGGAATTTTTCTTTCTTTTTTTTTAATTCAGGCGCCAGACAAGTTCTCATTTCCTTCTTGTAAATTCCGCATTCGTCGGTGTAAAGAATCAACTGGTCGCGTCGTGATGTGGCGTCAGCTACGAATAGCTAACAGTTTCACAATGGAGGCAGCGTTTAGCGGATCAGTAATCAACAAGTGCGTAACATAACTTTTATCTCGACTCTATTACGTCATTCTTCCAAAATATTCCAAGTGCAAAATTATGTGCTTGTGGATATGTACATCTATCTACTTGCGTAAAGCCGTTTATATATATATATATATATATATATATATATATATATATATATATATATATATATATATATTCACTGATGCATGTTTCATTAAATAATATAGACAAGTTTTGTCTGTTTATTTTAAGTAAGTTCCTTTCATATTGTCTGATAATCTTAATAACATTATCATTGAAAGACGAAAGGAAATCATCATATTGATACATGTTTAAATCCTCTCTAAGCTTTCGGCTTACATAAGCCATTAAGCCATTATCAAAGATAACAATTACATTTCAATATATCAAACAATACGCGGACGAAACAATAATGATAGTCCGTTTTACTTGCATGAAAAATTTCAAATCAACGACAAACTCGTGTATACAAGACGCGGAAACGAAAATCGCATCGCAGCTCGTGACGTCACACATAACCACGCGAGAGTGAAAACGAGAAGTATTAAGTATGAGAAGCCGTTGGTATATGGCTTCTGTTATCAATTCTGTAGTTTATATTGTTCAGGTTAAGTTGCAACTGTTTTATGTATATAGCTTCAAGAATTTTTAGTTTTTGTTTATTGTTTTCATGTTTTAGTATAAGTTTACGTATTGTGTTTTCAACGAGGATTTTCCGGAATTGTGTACGCGGCCAGGCATATTGTTTATATATATATATATATATATATATATATATATACAAACAGACAATTTTTTCTACGTTAATAAAACACCGATTAAATAAAAATAAATATATAAGATAAAAATAAAAAATAAATAAAAACAAGCAAAATAACCTAACCGAAATGAATAAATAAACAAATAAACGACTTCCGGCGAATTAACTGCAAAAATAGACTACCCACAGTGCATCACTGACCCGTATATATAAACAGCCGAGAAAAAATACAACACTCGTGGCCTGACGATTGTGTCTAGCATGAAACAGCCTATCGCCTCTAAGTGTTGACTTCAATGTTCACTTTTATATTTACACACGCTCTATCTCTGATATTGAGCAATTTATCCCATAAATATAGCACACCTTAAGAGTATATTTCTTCATATATATATATATATATATATATATATATATATATATAATCTTATGCAGCAAACCGAAACCTGAATCTGAAATTTAATGGCTAATTTATGAGAGTACTTGATTATTTTAAAAGTAGACACGAAAATATTAACAAAACTACGTTACCTCTTTCTACTTTATATTAACTGTTAAGGGGCCCACCCCTTTTTATACAAGTGGACTCGCCTAGTGTGTACGTGTACTGCTGCCGGTGAATACCCGGGGGTGATACAGTGAGAGATTGAGAGTGTGAGGTAACCGCTTTGTAGGAGTCACAGTTGCGAGCACTCAGAAGGAAGTCCTAGTTCAATACTGAATTTCCCAGACTGTATATATATTATTATTGCTACTAACCGCATTTCTGGATCTACTAACCGTATTACCAATTACATTATTACATCAATACATTTATTTGCTATATTTCATTCCATTTGAGACCGGATTTCATCCCGGAATCCACAACATTAACGATCTATCAACAAAACATTCTCAGATCATGGTACCAAGATTTATGGGTGCCCCTCAAAAAATCTACATGACTTGAGAGCTGATCTATGGTCTGATTTAGCTCTAACAGCTCAATAGGAAAAATGGCATGCAGCATTCAATACCTCCAAAACCAAGCTAGCAATAATCTATCTTCACTGTTTAGTCATGATAAACGGTTGTACTCTCAATGAAGATCCTTATCTTGAACGTCTCCTGAGAATCTAGATCGCAAGGGAAACATATATACACGATCGACTGCTAAAGATGCCGGGGAAAATGGTCTGTTCCTTGTACCTCTCCAGAAAGTACCTGACTCCGTCTGCCATGCTCTGTATTTGCAAGAGTAAGATCAAACCAAAAATGGAATCTCACTGTCATATCTTGGCTGGAGCTTTCCACCTTTGACTGAGTTCAAAAGCGTCTACGCGGTATTGTGGGTGATGAATTAAGTTAAACTCTACAGATCCTTCGTGTCTAGGGTCAGCCATTATCTATCTTACATATCTCCATAATCTAGTCTTCCTTCCGCCTCCTAATACGCTATATAATTTACGTTTAAGCGACACACACACACACACACACACACACACATATATATATATATATATATATTCACATATATATATATATATATATATATATATATATATGTTCTACATTCAACACCATCAGAAGTGTTGAAACAAAATGGCTATTTTTGTAGTGATTTTATAACATATTTTGTTACAATTTTCGAATAAATAATTATATTTCCTCTACTCTGTATTGAGCACTCTTTTAAGAATACTATTTGTTGGTTATTGAATTTATTCCATATACACCAATCCTATACTTGTGTGTATATATATATATATATATATATATATATATATATATATATATATATATATATATATTCAAATAAAAATAATAGGAATTACATTCAGATTTATTATTCATAGTTCTTACCAATTATTTTTATTTAAAAAAAACAGTGCTCGATACAAAGTAGAGGATATAGACATATATTTTTAAAAATAATTATAATATATATATATATATATATAACTGGATGGATGGCTACTCGTATCCCAAATTGCCCGTCTACTACGGCACATTTGTGGTTTATACCGCAACTAATGAGTGGACTTTATTTACAGTTTCTGGGAGAGAGTACGTCATCTAGCCTGAACAAGGCCAGTACGCTATAAACCTCGCTCACGATGACTTTTGACTTCGTGCTAACACAACGATTGACGTCTCCCAAAGATTCCGTCGTATGTTTTCAAGCATTTTTCAAAGATGCTGCACGCTGAGATCGCCTCCCTCAGAACGATAACAATTACCTTCCTGACAAATCGACCATGGTGAGATTCGAACATGAATCGCATAGTCAGAAAGTGACCGTCCTAACCACTCAGCTACGTGTCTATAATTACGCTATATAACTTACGCTACGCTATGTCAGTTTAAGAGTGTGGTAGCCCTAGTTTAAAAGCTTTACTGTATGAGAAGGCCTAATGACGATTTGAGGCAGGAAGTAACTGATTAAAATTGAGTGAAAACTCAGGGAAACTAATTAGGCGTTGATGAGAAAAAGGAAAGAACGAATTACAATAATAATTAGAAGCCATAAAATGAGTTTGGAGAAGGCGCTGGGAAGATTCGAATCTGAAATAAAGCAAATAAAATTTATGAAGACTAGATCTTTCCCAACCTACCCAGCTGGTCCCCAGGACATTATGACAAGATTTATGGTCCTCTGGAATCTTCCAAATTCTAAAGCAGAATTCTTGCTGTATTTAAACATTCCACGAGGCGCGTCTGATGTTCAAACAAAGAAAGATCATGATATCGAAAAACATGCAATAAATCAACTCCAGAGGTTTGTGAAATTCTTATATAAACAAGCCAATACGCAGACGGAGAGAGAAACATACCGGGAGAGACCAGGTGACAAAATAGTCTAGTTTTAATACTCCAACTTCGATTGCTACTTTGAGGTCTCTTCATTTGTTACGAATTACTGTTAGAGTTATTTTCCTGTTGAAAGACCGTTACTCAGGCTACATAGTAAAAGATCCAGTTCTTTAGTCTGGATATACTTTGAAATTCTTCAGATTGTTATGATTAAACATATTTTTAGATGTCAACAGAATGTGGTGGTTTGTGCCTTGAAATTTGTTTTCAGCGGAAAAGTTATCACGGCTGCAAAGATTTCACACCTGAAATCTCGCCAGAATCTCAACGACCACTAGGCGAAATCCCCATAAGATCTGGTTATCTCCCAGCTTGAGGACGTCGACAAGCGATGGCTGTGAAGATAGAAAAATAAAAAACACCGCAAAGCAACGACACTAAGAATACTTCGTTCGTGCTAACGTTGGGTCAAGGAACGACAAATTGATGAAATGAAACCGGACGAAAACGAGTGACAGTAGCGTAACCGTCCAATCAGTAGAGATTATATAAGAACCCCAGTCAATAGCTCTCTATCTTGAGTGTATATTGGGCATTTGATTGGATGAATATTTAATAAAAAGAAATCAAGCATAACTGTCGTACCAGTGAGATGTCTTTAAATGACTATCTAACATTAGAGTGGAATCACAGTCCTATAATTTTTTAAATTCTCAAAAATTAGATGTCTAGTCTGCTATATACTGCAAGTTTTCAGAGTTGCATTCATCTCTTCTTTGTTTTATGCACACATAACAGGTATAGATCGTGGCAATTTCCAACCATTGCATTCGCGTGTTCATAAAGTGACTTAAATATCAAATATTCAACAATGTCATTTAAAACATCAAGTCGTGAAATATGAACTTCTATGGTTTTTGTTTCAGAGACAACAAACCTTGTCACTTCAGCATCCGAGACTACCAAGATATGGGCCAAACGTTGTGTTTGGCAATATATGACTTCCATCGCATGCAAACCGATGACATGTAAGTCGATTTATTTTAAAGCCTCACATATTTGCAATCTAACTACTTATTACGCTCCTTACAAAAACCCATAGTTATGTTTAAAATAGAGTCCTACGCGTATCTATCTAGGTAGATAAAAAAAATACCCAATCACCATGGCTTGTGCCAGAAAGGAGTTAGTTACCCACAACACTTCTCTGTTAATTCAATGAAGAGGTTACACTCTGAGTAGAAATAATCATGAATCAAACATGTCTTCGTCATCTATATATCTATAATTCTCAAAATGTGTGTATATGTATGTGTGTGTGTGTGATTGGATGTTGTTTATGTGTTTCCACAGTTTTCATCAGATTTCGATGAAATTTTTTTTTGTTTGATAAATAATTCTTCAGTGCCGGTTTTGAGTCTAAATTGGCTGGAAAAAATTACAACCTTGAAGGTGAAAAATCGAAAAAACTGAGTTTTTACACTTTGCGCAAAAATCAAAGGCAAAATTTAATGTCCGTAAAAAACAGCGTACAATCAATTTAGAGAATTGAAATGTAATGTAAAAGATTATTAGAATTATAAAAAAAATTATATTATAAATAAAAATTATCGTATATTATTATGGCGGTCTATGGGAGATGTTTCTTCCTTGTAAGATTGAGAACGAAAAAACGGACCTTTTCAGGGTCACCCCCCCTTCAAATTGTTACCCCCCCCCCCATTTGGGGATGCACCTTAGTTGTGTTGCAGTTTTTTTGGTATATGGTACTAGTGAGTTAGCCCAAATGACTTGACTCACTTTATAGTCCACCAATAGAAGGTTAACCAATCAGAAGATGTAAAATATTCAATCCGTCGTGTATAAAGGCGGCCATTTTGTTTACTCTCTCCGAATGTCCAGTGCCAACTTGTCAGACGAAAGAACAGAAGGAAGAACTACTTAACTACGCTCTGCTACTTTATTGCTAACCTGAACTACGCTTCACTACTGTCTTCGAAATATTCACTGCTAACCTCTGGATTCTATACTCAAAGACGAGCGTCATCATGAACAACAAGTTGCACCCAATTGCTGTTACTAATATTGATTTTCGGGTGGGCTGACTTTAAACTTAAACTGCTTCAATAGAACGGCAAAAATTCCTAATAATGAATGAACCGGTCGATGACGGGTTATACTGCCAGTTATTTATACGCGAGTATTGTCCTCGTGGCTTACAGGCATATCACAATGAAACACCGGTCCTCATGTGATCAGCGAAGTTAAGCAACGGTGAGCCTGGTCTATACACAGAGTTTATGTGTTAAAAAATAGTAGGGATTTTATCAGGAAATCATTATTAGCTCCCAAAATAATTCTTACCATCTAAAAATATTTGCTGGTTTCAATTAACCTTCAAAGGTTTGATAAGCCGTAAGAAACAAATCAATCAGTGAATCTTTGTTGCTATCACAATGTTTCGGCCGTTGTACCATCCGGCCTTCATCAGATGCTTCTTGATCCAGGTAACCAGCGAATTACGAACTGAAACTTTTATTTGACCTACGTCCCGCTTACCAAATTTATGTATATATCGTCTACATCTTATTACCCGCCACGTTTGGCACAGAGATTGAACTCACAATTACTAGGACAATTACGAATGAAAAACCTAACCTACCTGACGACAAGTTCTGATGCTGCTACTTAATAATTGTGAGGTCAGCCTCAGGTCCGGGAAGTGTGTAATTGTAATTTACACCTGTGGATGATCTTGGAGGAAATCGAAAGTATTTGGGTAGGAAAAAATACGGCTTCCCTTTCATCTTAACATCAAGAAACTTGTTATAGAAATGTAAATGATCAGTATAAAAATCGACCGTAGTCGGGATCGTTGAGTCAATGCAAACGATCCTTTCTTTAGCTGTATAGCAAGTGCTACGCCAGGGCTACATTCAGTTTTGAATTCAGAGTTACTTTCTCCTAGACCGGTTGCCACCTAAGGCTATATAACCCAGTCTGCCCTGTTATTTACCTATAGTTGTGGAGAGAAGAAGGGGATTTATACCTTTCTCAAGGGTATTAGCACATAAGTAAACATAATGGATCTGACTGGAATTCGAACTCGGCTCTCTATATTATTCAACTAAACACACGCATAACACACAAAGGCGAAGAAACCATATTTCATATCTAATAAATCCGTTAATTTATAATATTTATGCTCTGTAAATTTACATTGAGCACTGTTTTGTAAAAATAAAAATATAAATAAGAACACCGTTACTGTTCTTTCTTTTTATTATAATTTATATTTTTATTATTATAATATATATATATATATATATATATATATATAAGTATATTGATTGATATTACCTCCAGCATTCCGACTCCAGAGTTTCGTAGGCAGACCTGTCCGTTCACGCTTCAGATAACGATATTCAATGGTAGTTGGTTAGATCCATCTATAGTTAACCTGGTAATAAAGAGTACGCAATACGAAGTTGACCCTATAAAATGTAAGAAAAGTACAGAACTACTCGAGTTGGTGAAATTAATGTTTGCATATCCGCGTTCTCTATTAAATAAGACAGCTCAAATTATGACAAGATACTTACACACTAAAAAGTATATAATATCTAATATGGAACCCAGACGAAATTCACTTCCGGCATAAAAAAATAAACCAAAAATAAACGAGTTTGCCATATCTAAGGCCAGTACTACGAGCTAAATAAGACTAAAATTGAACAAAGCCTGATGATCCTAAATTCGAAGGTGGAACTCGAGTAGCTCTGGTTTAATCTTTTTTTTTTTTAGACTTTTCTTATGTTTTATATATGGTAATTTTGCATATGAAGACTATCTCTTCACTTGGTAGCTTTTTTGTTTTTTTTCATTCAGAATTTTATTATTTTCATAATTTATACCTGAGCTAATACTCTGCTATGGGCCCGTAAGTGTTTCATAAGGCCAGCTTCACTTTTATAACCTCTCTTACACACGTGGCAAACATAGAATTTGGCTGTGTTAACTATGTTGAAAACTTGTCTGTCTATGTACAATCATGTTACGTTTGAGTCACGCAACAGACTTACAAACCTTTTCACAAAACTCGATTAAGTAACTTGCAGGTCTTTCTGGTAGGGTTGCATTCACAGGAGTGTGCTCTTGACCTCTTTGGTGTGTTCTCATGTGACTGGTTAAACCAGCTGCCGCGAGGGTGGCTTTTTCACAAATACTGCAAGTGTGTTTGTGTCCTAATAGCTCTGTGACGTATTCTATTCTCTTCTTTTGCAGTGGTTCTTTTGTGGTTGGAATGCTCACTTCTCTTCTTCTCTAAAATTGCTGCAGCGTTTCAAAATCAATTTTCCCCAGTCAGATTTATTTCCAGCAACAGTTTCAAAGTTGTTGTAGCATACCTACGGACGATAATGGGTATGTTTTCATTCACATAAATACAGTAGTAAATACTGTATATTGGTCTGCAGTTGGAGATTCGTCTCTCGCTGTGCTGATCAAACCTCCCTGCCTCCGGGAAAAGAGGATCCCCAGACGAGGCTATGTCGAAGGGCAGAGTCTCGTCTAAGAAAACCACTACCCGATTCCCTTTTATATGGGTCTACGGAAATTTTTGACCGACCCTTCGGGCTTGGACCTCTCACATTAAATTCAGTCTTGTGCCACATCTGATTGCGTGTCGCGGTTGGTATGTTTCCTGCAGTTGGAGATTCATTGTGGAATTCATTTGACTCACTAGCCGCCCTAGTAGACGAGTGTCCTTGAATACCTGTTACCAACTATATATATATATATATATATATATATATATATATATATATATATATATATAAGATGATGAAAATGGAGTTCTTTTTGGGGTCTGATGTGATGAGCGACTGATGCCGTGAAATAAATTATTACCAATGGATTTCTAAACTCCGTTTTCATTATTATTATATTTGCTCTGTTATTGCACACACACACACATATATATATATATATATACATATATATATATATATATATATATATATATATATATATATATATATATATATACAGTGTATCATCAAAAATAGTACACCCCTCATTTCTTCAAATATTTAAGTATATCTCTTCATGGGACAACACTGACAAAATGACACTTTTGACACAATGAAAAGTAGCCTGTCTGCAGCATATATAACAGAGTTAATTTATTTTTCCCTCAAAATAACTCAAAAAATATAGCCATTAAAAGCTAAATCCCTGGCAGCAAAAGTGAGTACATCCCTTAGGAAAAGTTGTCAATATTAACATACAACATGTCAACTGTCAATATTTTGTGTAGCCACCATCATTATCCAAAACTGCCTTTACTCTCCTGGGCATGGAGTTTACCAGAGCTTCACAGGTAGTCACTGGAATGTTCTTCCACTCCTCAATGACGACGTCACGAAGCTGGCGGATATTTGAGACTCTGCGCACCTCCACCTTCTGCTTGAGGATGGCCCAAAGATGTTCTATTGGGTTCAAGTCTGAGACATGTTGGCCATTCCATCACCTTTTTACTCTCAGCCCTTCAGTCAAGCAGTGGTTGTCTTGGATGTGTGTTTGGGGTCATTGTCATGCTGGAACACTGCTCTGCGACCCAGTTTCTGGAGGGAGGGATCATGCTCTGCTGCAGTATTTCACAGTACATGTTGGAGTTCATGTTTCAATGAAATGTAACTCTCCAATACCTGCAGCACTCATGCAGCCCCAGACCATGACATTCCCCACCACCATGTTTGACTGTAGGCATGACACACTTATCTTTGTACTCCTCATCTGGTCGCCACCACATGCTTAAGGCCATCAGAACCAAACAAATTAAATTTTGTCTCATCAGACCATAGACATGGTTCTAGTAATCTATGGGCTTTGTTGATAGGTCTTCAGCAAACTGTTTGGTGGTTTTCTTGTGTATTGCCTTCAGAAGAGGCTTCCTCCTGGGGACAGCCTTACACACCAATTTGATGTAGTGTGTGGCGTATGGTCTGAACACTAACAGGCTGAATCC